CAGAAAAGCCGTATCAAACTAATACTATAGAATCCTACCAATAGGAAACTGAACTGAAAAGTGCATTTGGGATGGTACTATAGGGCAGAAAGAGACTGCCTCCAATAATTATTTTCATGGCTAATAAGGCATTCTCTTAGCACATAGCATCCTTGCTGCTAATGGAAATATAATGATCACTGAAAGAATATTGGAGGTTTCTGCTGGAAAAAAAAAATCTCCCTGCAGAAATCTGAATTTAAAATTCATTTTTTTCAAATGGATCTACATTTTTAGTAAATTACTGCTTTACTGGACTCTACTGCACTCTAGCACATCCCCAGAGTTAAAAGGGCTTCAAAGGTTTTCATGTATACCAGAAAATGCAGTTATGCAGCAGAGGAATTGTGCTCATTCGCACAGCTTTTAAAGGACATGTATAAACTGATGAGGTCATGATGTCGTTCGGTCTTGTTTAGGTGCCGGGGAGCAGTCTCACCACCCAGGAAGGGCCAGGGCCAAGTGGCATCTCTACCTGTTTCCATCTTGCCGTCCAATGCGGCAGGGCCATCGAGGACCAAGCTCTTGATCTGCAGAAACTCGTCAGGTTCATCCCCTCCAACGACAGTGAAGCCAAACCCGCGACTGCTTTTCCGCAGCTTCGTGTGAATGAATTTGCCTTTCAACTCAGAAGGGTTTCGTGTAAAAAAGGGTTTGCCTAGAGAAGAACAAGAGAAGTACAAGGGACGTCACCATGAGTGAAAAATTGAACTAAATAAGAAATGACAGACTTTTACAGATAACTCTCCAAGCTCCTGCACTGGGGCATTTGGGCCACAATGGGCTCAGATATTAAGAAAGTCCTCTCTTGATGTCAATAGTAAACATGCTCCTTTGTTGAAAGAGGGGATTATGGCACATAAAGCACAGAGATCCATAAAGATCCAAAGAAAGTATAAGAGAAGGATGAAGCTGGTGTCCATCACCCGACACACTTCCTTGGTTTTCAGTTCATATAGTTTAATACCAATTGAGTTGCCTTGAGCTCCTTCACAAAAAACGGAGCAGGTCTTTGCTCTGTGTCTTTTGTTTTGTTACAGTGCATATTTTGCACTAAGGCTTCCAATGAGTGGGCTTGACTTCCACTTGTAAAATCAATTCAGCAAAAAATTAGCTTTTAATCAAACAGAAAACTCCTTCAGAAAATACACATATAATGTGGGGAAACATATTATGGTCACAAAGAATACTTCCATAAAAATGTAGACAACTACTTTCAAAATTAAGAGTCATGACTTTACTTTTAAATCCTAAATTCAACTGATTTTTCCTATTAATTTGCTTTTTTTAAACAACTTGTGAAATGGCCATGACATGTCTGTTGCTAAAATTTACTATTTAAAAAAAAGTTAGAACCTGTGGCTTAGATGATTTAAAAAAAACAAAATGAAATGAAAAACCTCAACTAAACAAAATACTTACTAAGAGCCACAGAGCTCAAAATTCAGTTATCTTATTTTAAATAAATTGATATAGAGCAAAATGCCTCCCAAACATGGTAGCTAAGCACTTACTGAGTTTTCCTGATAACATTCGCAAATAACATTTTGTACACAAACCAAAAACTTTATTTTGGGTTTTGTAAGTTGGGCATTTCTCTGGAATTGAGAAACCCACTTGAATGTCTCTGGTTATCCCAAGTAGCGACATAACTTTTCACTCAAACTCTTTCACCTATCCTAATTATACTTCCTATTTCTTGCTTGCCACAGCTTTGCCATCTGCCCTATTTCTTTTTTATCAGAAATGTTATCCTTCACCCCCACAGCCCTCCCCCAAAAAAAGACCAGGACAAGTCTCCATAAACCCCTTGCATGAGAGTCTGGCACCCAGGAAAGAAAGTTATTTTTGGTTATCCATATCTCAAAGGCCTTTTTTTAAAAGGTCTCTGGGCACACATACAATTTTTCATTGCATATTTCAGAAGTCTCTCGCTCTTAAAAAGGCTCCTTTAAATTGCCTAGAGTCGGGTCTGCTCACTAGCCTCCTCCTCTCTCAGTCCCAAGGCTGGATGGAAGCCTGACAAACTACAGCCAAGTCACCATGGCTAAAGAAAGGCAAGACCTAGTAGGATACAGCAGGCAAGCTCGTGTGCCAGGGCACCAGGAAGGTGCTAACTGTAGTCAGGGCTTGTGGGGAGACAGCTGCCCTGGCAATGAGCAGATGGGAAACTGAGGATATGGGTTTGTGAGCAGCTGACGTTCTCGGGGCAGAGGCTGCTGGGCAGCTGGGAGAGCTTGACGGGAAACTCATTCTGGTTATGCAGACACCGACAGCCATCACCGTCTCAATAAGACTTTCTCTGACCACCTTATTAAAAATTGTGACACCTCCTCCAACATTCCCAAACCCCTTCTTCGGCTTTATTTTTGTCCTTAGCATCTATCACCACTCAACACAACAGACATCCCCCTTATTGGTCTGGAGCTTTGTCTCACCATCTCCCACCCTCTTGCATGAGGGGCGCTGCATGTGCACATACATATAACCAATAGATTGCAAGCTCCATGAGGATTTCTGCTGGGACATCCAGTGAGTAGAATGCCGCCCACTTCATTGAATGTGCTCCAAAAACGTATGCCAAATAGATGAATGAATGAACAATAGCACGAAGAGAGGAGACTTATGTCTTTGAGGTCTGAAAGAAGTGGCTAGGTGTTGAAGCTTTTTACGCTTATTACAGGCAAAATTAGAAAACATGAAAATGTGCCTAGCAATTTATCTGAACTTTTTTTAGTTCATTAGCATAATTTTGAGTTTAGAATATTTTCAACTTAATAGAGACATGAGCAGAGATTTGAAATTACTCCACTGACTCACTTTTTCAATGCTTTACTAGGGAGGGAAGATCAGAGGGTTTCACATTTATGCACATTTTAATATGTTTTATGTGTGGGTGGGTCATCAGTTAATATAGCTTTGGAAAAGAAATGCTTTTCTACCCACAAGCAATGGAATTTGGAGCTCTCTACTGTGAGTACATGTAATTTTCTAAAGCATCCCAGTGTGTTCACTAGTCACCAATGGTAGAATTTGGTTATGTGTAAGAATCACCCAGGTAGCTTTTTTAAAAACATACTCATTTCTAAGCCTACCCTAGGCTCCAGAATCTTCTGGGTCCTGGCCCAAAAATTTGCTCTGTACAGCCTCGGCATTTGCCTCCCTGCCACACTGGCACTATTCTTGGCACTAGTGTTTGAATACCTGGGACTAGTGCTGTCCAATGGTCCTTTGTGTGATGAAGAATATATTCTATACCTGCACCGTCTGAAACAGCAGCCACTAGTCACATGTAGCTCTTGAGCCCTTTAAATGTGGCTATTTTTAAATTGTCATTACTTTAAATTTAAATGGCAACATGTAGCCAGTGGTATCTGTACTGGATGACACCTAGACTATGCAATAAGGCATTCCTATAAAAAAAAAAAGTATTTAGTCATTTGTTAAACTGTGACAATTAGGGTTCAAATCTGTGCTCTACTACTTACCAATTGTGTGGCCTATGGCAGGATAGATAATATAGGTAAAGCACTTAGGGCACTGCCTGGTTCATTAAAAAGCCCATTAAATGTGGGTTATTATTTTGATGATGGTGGTGGAGTGGGGGTGGTGGAGGGATGGCTGTAAAAATCTCTAAGCGTAAACTGAAAGTTGAAGAGTTTTCCTAACAACAAATCTCTTTAAAACTGTCATTTGCTGGGATCAGAAATTTGCTCTTGATCAGAGCAAAGTTGAATTGAGCAGTGAACTTAACATAATTCACACAAACTGCCTAACCACATTAGCTATGAGGGTTCTTTCTGAGAACACTATCAGGAAGCTAGATCGGGATACTTAACCCGTAAACAGGTAACCCAGAGTGGTGACCAATGATAAGCCCAAGTTAATGCTGCTCATAACTGCAGCCTAGAGTCAAAGGGTATGGATTTAAGCTGGCTTCTTTGGTATTGATTATGTTCCAAAGATTTTTAACTATGTTTGAAAGATAACAATCAGCATGGAGACTGCACTGTAGAACAACAGTAACAAATCCTAACCCATAAGGGACCCAAAAGGGCTAAGAAGAAAAGGAAAAACAAAGAACAAAAAAGGCCCCCAAAAAGAAAGAATCTGAGATGAAGTTCCTAATACAGATTAATACCATGTGGACTCTTAACTCAGTTGGTGCACTAAGCATTTGGTACCCACAACCTGAAGTTTAAAGCTCCAATTTATTTAATTTCTAAGACAATTCTCTAAGAAAGCTAGGCTGGTTATCATTAATATGTGTGCATGTGTGCATATTCATTCACTCAATAATAAATTTCAGCAGAAGCTAGATATCAAAGGGATTTTGTCTAGAATGGGGTATCCCACAGTAAAAAAAAAAAAAACAGTCTCCTGCCTCCATGGGATTTAAAGGCCAAAGAGGAAAACACTATTAAAGAACTGAACATAAATGAATGCTAATTATAATGCTAAATTCTATAAATCAGAAAGAGGGAAAGAGTGAATATGACAGGAATCTAGCAAAAACCATAGATGAGTAGGAGTTAGCAAACCAAGGAGTGGGAGGAAAAGACAGCTGCAAGCAGAGGGAACAGCATATGCAAAGGCTCTAACGTGGACCTCAGTTTTGCTGGTTCAAGGAACTGAAAACATTGTGTAGCTAACTTACCATGCAATGGGTAAATAAGATGGCAGGAGGCTGCAGGATATTTTATACTAAAACATATGGAGGCCACAATCATGTTGATAGTTTTACGTAATGATCAACTATGTTCTATCTTTAGTAAAGCCGTTATCACTATAAAAAAATATAGCCAAGCCAATAAACTATTTTACATAAACTGATATTAAGTCCAATCTCATGACCCTACCAGCTAGCAGAGAAACAATTTCTTTGTTATGAAAATCATAATGGAGGCATGGAGAGCGGAGAAAACAGTCATTTCACTTATCTTTTATATCCAACACAATTTTATCTCTTTAAAAATGCAGAGAGGAAGAAGACAAATTTTACAGTCTTCTTAATGGGTCTGTACCACCAGTGCTCCCCAACTCTATCAAATCTGATACTTGGTCTATTTTTCTTACTTAAAAGAAAAAAACTAAACAACAATAACAATAACAAAAAACCCAAAACCTTTTCTATAAATCAAGAGTAATGAGGCTTGAAAATAGCAAGAGTCTAGAGCTTCCAGTTTCCAATGGACCTCTCTGGTGGGGGGCTCATATTATTTGTGGATGTAAATAAGTGACAGCTAATGAAATGCTGAAGAACATGCATAAATGCCCCAACGGCAGCAAGAGTAAGAGGTAAGAGACTATAACACAACATCAAACCATTTTACATCTACAGAAAAATCTTAGTCAAAAGCAAGTATGTTGGCCAGAACCTTGAAATACCTAGTGCTGAGTTTTCAATTTACCTTATTCAATACAATTTTAAATGTCTGTAGTCTCTAAATCAGTGGTTCACGACTCCAGGATGGTTTTGTCCCCAGGACATCTGGCAATGTCTGGGGACATCTGTAGCTGCCACAACAGGGGGAACCTGGTAGGCCGAGGCCAGGGAAGCTGCTCAACATCCTGCAGTCTACGGACAGCCTCCATGACAAAGAATTACCTAGCTCAAAATAGCAAATGTGCTATGGTTGAGAAACCCTGGTGTAACTGATTGCTAGTGACAATTATTTTCAGGGCATTATAATTAGCTGAAGAAATTTACACAGAAAAGTCTTAAATTTTTTGGACATGTCTGATTAACAATATCTTCAGAATTTCTATCGTTAAACAGTTTTTACTACCACAGGAATGACTTAGGAGTTACAGGATTCCACTTTATCTAAAGTTCCTTTAAAAAAATCAGATGTTGAGCTAAAACTATGATACAATTATAAAAACACTTTACCCTGAAGAGGAGCTTCTCTGGCCGGTTCCAGATTGCTTGGGGGGTGGTTTGGAATAACAGGAGGCACATGCGATGAATGATCTTCTGTCCACTCTATGAGAAAGAAAAGAAACAGTTTATTGTTCTTTCTTCAAATGACTGGTCATCTTACTTAGGATTCACCTTTTTTAAATTATAAAATTGTCCAAACCAGTAAAACCAGGGGCAGAGAGCTTAGATTGACAAGAAATTGGTATCTGACCCCATTCTATGTTAAGGATATCCAGACCCCTCTCTCTCTATGCGTGTGTCTGTGTGTGTCTCGGTCTTGCTCTCCTAAGATCTCTGAGTAAATACATAGCATGATATAACTAATACAAACTCTAGTGCTCTCTGCTGGAGGGCCTGAAGTGAGACTACGTGAAAAATATCAGGAGAGACCCGGAGTTCACTAAAGCTGGCACAGTAAGGGAGAAATGTGCCTAACACAACTGACTCATGGGCAGGGCTGCTGAAGCTGCATGTCTGAGGCAGTGAAGGTGGATTTCAGCAGTCTGCTAAGGTGCTATGTCCCATCATCTCCCAAACCCAAATGGGACCCATTGCCAACACTCCTAACTAGTTTTACTCACCTTGGGGATCCAGAAATAACTCATTACGAGTGACTCTTAAGATCTATCCCAGAGTCCCTTTCCAGCTAAGTGAATATATTCACCTGTACACTCCCATTTCCCAAAGTGCACTTTCTAACACCATACAGTTTTACCAGCTCTGAAAACGTATTTAAAAATCCTTTTTTTTAAATGGAAAAGAGATTGTAGAAAGGAGAATGTTTTAATAGGTGAATACACACACACACACACACACACACACACTCTCTCTCTCTCTCTCTTTCTCTCTCTCTCTCCAAAACATAGTTCATGACAGTAGTTGACCAACTATGGCTTATGACCAAATTGGTACCAATGCTTGTTTTTATATAACTTGTGAGCCAACAATGGTTTTTACATTTTTAAGTAATTGAAAAAAAATGAATATTTTGTAATACATTGAAAATGACATGATGTTCATATTTTCAATGCATGTACATAGTATTTTATTGGATGACACTCAGGCCAATTCACTTACATACTGTCTGTCACCACTTTCATACTCTAAGGGCAGAGAGGAGTCACTGGAATGGAGACTACTGGAGAATATTACAAAGGCTGTAGAGCAAAGCCTGACACCTTTACTGTTTGACCACTCACAGAAAAGGTTTACCAACTCTCACTCTATGGCACATATCTACTACATTCAATCCTATAATAAGAGAAGTATTATCTTTAATATTCTTTTTTTTGACTATTCACATATGATATTAAGAGGTATTGAGCGTATTATTTTAAAAGAGTGCTATGAAAAACTAACAAAAACCTTAAGCATCTATTAATAAACAGATGGCTAAATGAAGTGGAGAAATTCACAAAATGGAATATTATACAGCCACTAAAAAATTATAAGGTAAATATATTTTAAGGGGTTTGGAAATACATGCAAAAAATATGTTTGAGAAAAAGAGGTCAAACATAAATACTTTATACATATATATAGAAAATATATATTATATATATTTAAATTTATATATATTTATATTTCTATATATGTATATGAAAAAAATATATTTTTGTTAAAATATGCATATTTGTATAACCCTAGAGAATTTCTGCAGTGTTGAGAATGGAATGAAGGCATGCATAGGAGAATTTAATATTCTCCACTCCTCAACTATTCATATTTCTACAAAAGAGCAGGAATTAACTTATAATTTTTAAAAAGCATTCAAAATTAACAGTTCATTTCACACCCAGTCACTTCTCTAAAAAGTGCTAGAAGTGGTCTGGATTTAGACACCAGTTGCTGTGCAGATGTGGCTGGGACAAGAGAATTCTTTCAGAATCAGAAAGTCCTCTAATCTAACAGCAGCCCCTCTCCACACTAAAGCGCAGTTGGGGGCCTTTGAATAAGGCTCCCATTTTAGCTGTCTGGGTTCTAGCAGAAGCTCTGGGGCCTCCCCCAAGGACATCAAGTTTTTAGTAGGGCCGAAGGACATGTTCATCAAGGCCAGTTCTGACCACACGGGGGTGTCAGCGCCCAGGCTTCGCCCCGAGCAACTCTGCCCATCCATCACTAGAAAGCCAACCTTCCGGCTGCTGCGGCGGCTGCTGCGGCGGCTGCTGCGGCGGCTGCTCAAGCTGCTTCTTCCGTTTGGCTTCTAAAACTGGGTTTTCATATTGTGTCTTCCTGTTGATGTGGCTGGAGCAGAAAGCAGATAGCGTTCAGGTAGGAAACATTTCACCCAACAACAAAATGCCAATCCAGCCAAGTCCCTTGATAGAATTGAGCAAAGCAGGTGGGTGGAGATGTTGACCATCTTGGGTCAAAATCCAGTTAGGGAAAGGAAATAAAAATGAATGGGTTCCACACACTGACTGCTTATATGTACCAAGCACTGTGCTACTAGTTGCACATGCATTTTATTTAAAAATCTTTAAAAGTGCCTGCCAGGAGGTGGGTCCTATTTTCTTCATATTTTATGGATAAAGAAAGTAAATTTCTGAGCAGTTAGGTAATAACTCACCTAATGTAATACAGCTAGTAAACAGTAAAGAGGCATGCAAGCTCAGGTCTGCCTGCTTTCAAATCCCAGAATTTTAACAACTGCCTCTCCCAAATACCCAAGGAATCACCCCACAGGAGGAGTGGCTTTAATGCAACAGGAAATAGATTACAGAATTACTAAAATATGAGATTAAACTGGAGATGTAATGTTATCTGTAACATAATGTGAACAGTAGAGTTCACAGAACACAAACATTCACCCAAACAATAGGTAAAAGAAGTACTCTATCAGCATCTGTCAACCATTTTGATCAATAGTCATGGAGTTGGGATTAAAAGTATAGGCCTAGGCAAAAAGGATCCAAATACAGCAAACCTGAACAACTGTGACGTGTCCAAAGTGACAAAGACCCAAATACTTCAGATGGCTCCAAAACAATTAAGGTCATGGCAAAACAGACACACACACACAAATGTATAGACCTACGTATGGATGCATATTCATATATGACTTTTTGCCATGGCTTTATTTAGCATATGTATGTGTACATACATATAGACACACAGAAGCATACATATATTCATACTTTTTTCCTTCATCAAAATCATACTTCATTAGAAGTTTCAGAACATAAAATTATCATATGATTCTTTACAACTTGAAATATTTTCTTCGAGCCAGGCTTTATTTTTTAAAGGCAGACTTGTCAAACAGGGTGGGATAGACTGATTATTCTTAATTCCTACTATAGACTACTTGCTTACTTCCTAATTCATGTAGGCAATTTCATGCTAAGAAATAGTCTAACATAAACAGGCATTTGGAATCTGAAAAGACATGGGGAGAATTACACAGTACGAGACAAACTTGCTCCTCAAACCAGGAAAAGCTGTCACCACCTGTTCCTTTTCTCTCTTGATGTAAAAATTAGTTGAGGGAGAACTGAAAATGGCCCCAAATGGGCAGGAACCCCACTGTATATCTGCAAGCAAGATGATCTGAAGGGCACACAAAGGAATTTTATTTTATGAAGGTCAGAGAAACAACCAAGCTTGGCTTCTGGATGCCCCAAATCACCAATCCTTCTTGTTAGGTGTGGAGGTGGCAATGTGAGTACTGGCCAAGGACACTTGCTATATTGAACTCATAATTTTTTACAATAAGATGCTGAGAATTTTGCCGCTTGGCATTTTTTGCATCATATGTTCTTATCACCAGGGTATTATACAAATGACTTTTCATTGCCAGGAGCGTGAGGAATAGAAAGCTTGCCAGTTATCTTCATTGTGGCAGGCAGGATTATGATGACAGAACATTTATATGGCATTTGTTTCTTTCAAAAGATCTTTTATTAGTTATTTCTCACCTTTCTCAGGGGAAATGATAGAGAGCATATTTCTTCAATGTTTAACCTTTTGGGTTTCTTTTAATTTCTTATAGTATTGTCTTACCACTAGATTGTTCTGATGAAAGAACACAATGTGTGCCCAATGCTAGAATGAGGTGCACAGTAAAGAGGTCAGGATGAAGGCTTGCAACTTCAAAAATAGAAAACACAGTTGCTGCAAGGGAGAGGCAAAGAGGCAAACCAGGTCTTGCAACTTAGGGTAGTTCTAAATTTCCTTCTTAATCTTGGCAACATTTCATACATTATTAAGATTTGTCTGAGCCTTTTTGAAAGCCTCAATGAATAAATAATTACTGAGAAGTTCAGACCTATGTGGGCAAAAAGTAGGCAAACCTGGTCCTCCTCCTAAAATAACCCCTACTTGTAGGGTCTACTGAACGTTTCCTTTCTCATTCATTCATTCATTCATTCAACCCACAGTTATTAAGTGTCTGCCATATGCCAGGCCTCTGTTAGGCCTTGGTAATACAGTGGTAAACAAATGACATGGATCCTTCTCTCAAGCCGATTTACGGTATAATTTACTGTGTTTAGACTTGCTGAACATTCTCTTATTAAAATATGCATATCTATTTTCACTACAAAACTAATTTTGTTATTAGTACTGAGTCTGTACACCTTACATCGATGGCCAACTCTGTCCAGCACAAATGCACATTTTGCAGAGGGGTGCGAATGAAAGTGCAGATGAGCAAATACTTACTCTACATAGTAGATACCATAGACAGGGTCTTCAATCTTTTCCCAGCCAGCAGGCAGTTCTGAAAAACAAAAGAACACTGAGAGCAAGAAGAGCATGTTCTTCAAAGGACTTCCAACAACTGAGTCAGGCAAAAAGAGAAGACTCATAAAAATGCCTGAGATTCGATTAAAACCATGTATTCTAACAATAACAAAAAAGGCAAATATTATTTTTACTTCACAGTGTATTTTTCCACATGAAGAACAATTCTTAACTGATATTTTGTGCAAGCAACTAAAACTTAAAAACAGTCCCAGGTGCCTTCATTCTAAATCAACTTATAAATGAGATGTTGATAGAAATGTAGCTAAAATTTGCCTTGAATGTCTAGTTCCTATCTTAAATATTTACAGTTTTCTCATTTTATTTCTAGACTACCTTACCATACACACAAAAATAGATGAAAATTAATGTTTATTTTCATTTTCAATATAATAGAGCTATTTTTTCTCTCCATGGAATAAAATAAAGTGTGCATCTTATGTTCTCCTTGTTCCTAACTAAAGTTCTACTGAGTAAATAAAAAATGACCCCACAGAGTTGGGTTTTCAAATTACATGTGTTTATCACTCAATTGCTATGTTTGAATAGGTCCATCTTCACCAGCACTTTGCCTATGAAAGCAGAAACACAGGTCCTGCTTGCCAAGAATTCACTACCTAAGGGGGAAGATCTTATTCCTTTCAATGCGGACGTAAATGGCATTGAGGAATATATGTGGCTTTCTGAAAACTTAATCATGCTCTACTGGACTTGACTTTGTCAGGTTTCACATTAAAGGCTGGAACTTTATTAACTAGGTAAAAGCGAGTTCTGCAACAACAAGAATCTGTTGTGAAAAATTCATTGCACCAGATAATTTGACTAGATTGTTTTGTGTCATTAGATAAATCTTTCAGGCAGAGCAGCAATTACTCAACTTGATTCAAAACCTCCCCAGCATATATGAAGTAAAGGCAAGCTTGTATAATACCATACTCCAGAGTGAATTATTATCCCTAGAGGAAGCTATTGAGACCAACTTGAATGGAATATTACACACACTTGCAATATCACTTATTTTGAAATACTTGACTTTTTTTCATTCAAGGAATCCTGTGGTCATTATTTCCAAGTACTGACTATTTCGATAGGGCACAGGGCTCACATATGCCACAAATGGTCCCACAATGAAATGGAGTCACGCGTGTGCACCCAAACACACACAGGCTAATTACTCAAAATTTATGTTTTGCTCAGATTTGGCTGCACATCAAGAGACATTAATTTCATGGTTTTTCCTCCATGTTATTTGTTTGCAAACAAAGAGACAGGTTTTCCCTCTTTTCTTCTAATTTTTTTTAAAAACACTTAGCAGGTTTTAAAGAAGTCTTTGAATTTAGGGAGACGTAAGTTACTAAAATGCAAGGCAGGTTCAATTTGCAGATGTTGATACAATTTGGCATTTTTATATGCCCAGTCCTGCGGACTGATGCAAATTATGCCTGGGAAATGGTTTCACCTTACGGAGCTGGGAATTACCATTTAAATGAAAATTAGCTAGGAAAATATTTCCAAAGAGTTGGGAAATTGAAGATTAAAAAAAAATGCAAACTGGTGCACAGTCATGTGTTTGTTCTGACATGTGGCAGAAGAATGGATGGGTGTGAAGGGACCAAGCAATGTTTAACTGAACCAAATCTCTTCAAAATCTGCAACCTTAAATATATGGTCTGATTATCTTTAGATAAAACAGGGACAATATTAAGTATTCAATTCACTCAATTATTGAAGTCGTCAAACATTTATTGAGTGTCTACTGTCTCACTTGAGGGTTTGCTAAGCATCGGGGACACAAAAATAATTATAAATGCACTATCTAAGCAGACAATTCAAACACTATATGAATCAGGGCTCTGATGGAGGTCAAAGAGGGTACAAGAAAAGAAGCCAGGTCTGACCTTTGTCCTGTTGCCTGGTCAACAACTTAATATTGTTGAGAAATGAGGTCAGCCAATTGCTATTTCTGGACTTCTGTAAATTTAAACACATCCTCTAGAAAAGATCAGTAAAGTCCAGAAATTTTCAAGTTTTCCAAGCTAAAACTCATTTTAAATTGAAAAGACAGATTTCTCACTTCCAATGTGGTGATTAACTTAATAATAGGAATTAGTCTCCTACTGCTTAAAATAGAAATGGGTCATCGATTTAAAAAAGGAAGATGTTTGTCCTCAAATTTGCCATTTGGTTCTAAAAAAAAACCAAAAATGGCCAGAAAATGATAACATTACTATTTTTTTTTTTTTTACTAAACACTCTGAAGTTGCCCAAAGAGCTGCCTTCCTCTGTCTTAACAAATGTTGGACATCAGAAACAGAATGTACAACCTGTCAAAGAGATTTCAGGCAGCTGAGACCCTTCTGCAGTTGCCCAGCCCGGGCCTGAACCTTAGCTCTAGCACAGGGCTTGTTACTCAACATCTCGGATCCACATCTTCCTCTCAAATTTACCTCAAAAGTTGCCTGTGGATTAAATGAGGATGCTTATAAAACATTTTGCATAGCACCTAGCACATAGGCTCAACAAATGACAACTGTTCTGGGAAAGCGAAAAAAGACTGGGATAGATTTACATGGCCTGCTTGCTTGCTAGTACTGCCTCCTGCTGCACCAGGAGTCACCGAAGATGCAAATATGGGGCAGTCCCATGTTCTCATTATTTTCAAAAGAGATTTGTCAGCACGTAGACTGAAAGTCATGTTCACAATCGCAGATAAAGGACTTAGTTTTGGTTAGGAGAGGACCTCATTTCCTTGTCTCTACTTCTTCTGGTTGGCATTAGCACATGAATACCCTGTAATTCCAAAAGAAGGTTCTGCAAATGCTTTTTGATTCTGGAAAGGTGTCTGCAGAGGATGTGATGATAAATTCTGCAAACCCAAAGTACATAATGCAGCTAGTTACCAACCCAACCCAAACAACCGAGTTCAGAGATGATGATTCCATAATCAACTGGTCTGCGCCTGACACCCAGCCAACGGCCCCTGCCTCAAGAGGGTTTCCTTGCCACGTCTGGAATTGCATTGTTCACTGAAAACCTGACAGCTGCTACTGTTTGAAATTAGGACCCTCTTATTAAGAAAACAGGGAGAGTGCTTCTCAATAGAATCTGGAATGAAGGCAAGAAGCAGCGTGCGTGAGTGTGCGCGTGTGTGCGTCATACTTTATACAGTGGCCACATGCGGTCGACTTCAATAGCTCTATTCTTCCTCTACCTACAAGGACACATTTGGGTCATTTCTGTAGTATAACCATTCCTCCCCTGTCCCATATTAGAATAAAAAGTACCATAAGGAGTACTGGGAAGTCCAACAAGAGGAAATTAGTGAATAAAGAATAAAACAATTAAATACAAAAAATAAATGCTGATGAGAGGGAGAAATAGAAAGACTATGTCTCACTGATTCTCATAGGTACCATGGGACCTCCTCTTTCAGCCTCTCTTTACAGATAAAGGGGAGCTGAAAGAAGGTAAACCACTTGCCCAAGACCACACAGCCATTAAATGGGGAAGCCCAGATATGCAGCCAAGCAGCTTAAGCTGACCCCAGAGAGAGCTCCACCACTTCATCAAGCCACCTCCCATAATTATACCCAAGATGACGAGAATACCTCGTAGTCATTAAAACATACAGTTTTGTCTTCAACAGCATAGGGAAGTTCCCGCAATATAGATACATGGAAAACAGAAACTTCTTTCCTAAAAATTTCCATTGAAGTAAATAAGATTGTGCCCCTGCACACAGTTCTGTTATCTCCACCAGCTGCCCACAGACTGAGAAGTTACTCACCCATATCAGTCAAATAGCAAGAGTGGTTTAAAGTAGCCCAGCAAATGATAAGGCACTTGTTTTGAGTCTGGAAAATCTAATTCTCTCTTTCCCAACTACTTTATCTAATATCACTGATTGATAAAACTTTTGCTTAATAAAATTAGTTTCAAGTCTCTCTATTCCACAGGTTGAATTTCAAGTAATTCTTACCACAATGACCACAAGGACAAGATATGAAACATCTTTAAAAATAGATCCACCAATAGCTATAAACCATTGCTGGCTAATCTATCAGTTAGAACAAGATATGTCCCAAATATTAAGAAAAACAGCTAAATTCTACTATATCATAACTGTAGTCAACCATAATGACTGCCTTTATCTATGTAACAAAAACAAAATGGAATGAAAACAATGATAGGTATCAAATATTTATATTTTCAGTTCTTCAGGCAATCTCAAAAATGCTAGGCTGGTATAATAACCTCAGGAGAGCTCTGTTCCTAATGATGTTAAACAGTCTTCTATTTTAAAAACACACTATGGCCAATTTGCAGTCAGTCAAGGCTTTCACGTACAATTTAGTTAAAACTTGTGCTTTCCCATCTACCCTTTAGTAGATGTATCAGATAGAAAGAGAACTAATTTTCAGATTACTCAGCGCTGAACATAAACTATTTACCTCAGGAGAGAACAAAATTCAATACATTCCAATGGCGAAGATAAAAGACTTTGGCATTATCTGTTAGTGTAAATTATTCTGAAATTGCAATAACTGGAGCAGTCAAGACCTGATTTACACTGATACACACACTTGAAGGAAAATGACATGTGAGTGCACCTTCTGGTTTTCAAGCCATTCACATGGTCACAAAGCCAACCTGGTGCTAGTGACTTACTAGCACAAGACTCAGACTTTTTAACTACGCAGTTAATCACTGGAGTTTATTGTATTGCATTAGCTCTACAAAGATTAACTTAGTTTGGTGGACTGTTCGTTTTCCTTTGCTGTTTTGCATTACCCATGCAGATAACCACCCACATCAAAGAACTGAAGCCAAGATAGGTCATAAGAGAGTTCAAGGGACATGGCAGCATGTATACCTCATTTTTCGTTTGATCCTCAATGTACAAGGCTACCTGGCACCAATCTGCTAGCTCTCATTCCAGTCAGATGTGTTCTTCATAGACACAATTTATTACAACTCTGCATGGTGCCTGCAGTCAGACACATGGGTTGTAGGATTGACCTTTCATGGATAAGCTTGGATGAAAATCATAATTGGAGAAGTACAAGCTAAAGAAACTGAGGGATTAAGCAATCCACTGGACACAAAACCATTCAGGGCAAGTCATGCAGCAGCGGCAGGCTGAGAGGGTTTACCTAGTTCACTGTCCAGCTCCTCGGTGTGGACCCCTTCTTCTCCAAAGGAATAGCAGGGATGGGACAGAAAAGAGAGAAAGAAAAATTCAGATACCAGCACCGAGAAAGAAATGCCCCTCAGAAAAAAAGCAGCAAACAACATCACTGTTTTCTCCTTACCTGTGTTATGGCTTATTTCGCTGGCTTGGCTAGCAAACTTGAGACCTCAATGTAAATCACAAAACGGTAAAAGCTGATATTGGCAACATAATTATAGGGCTCATTTCCCTGCATGTCAAAATAGGGTTTGATTGGTTGTAAAAGATGATAAATACCTTTGCGGTTTCAATATTCTTAGGTGGGAAGTCACTTATTACAGACCTTATTTCGAGCAAACAAAGCTGCCAGACCTTTCAATATTAGTCCTTTGAATCCTTCAATAATCCTTGAATCAGTGAGGCAATTATACTCACAATTAAAGCATTACTTAACTTATAAGTAATACTGCTGCCTGAAAACGGGGAGGTGAGCTCAAATGGAGAATGCAGATTGTAAAATGAGCTACGCAGCAATGCCTTTCAGAAGGAGTGAGGAAGAGGAATGTGTCGTGCCGATGTACAGCAAGGAAACAAGGCTTGAAAGGAGTATTGGGAGGTAGAATTTACTTTGTATACTAAGTAAAACACCTCAGAAATATTACAATGAAAAAGTGTTCTCAACAATTTCTATGAGCAAAACCAGTTGAGATCTTTTCTATTCTTGATGCCCCCTCTTGCTGTCCATAAAACATTTTATCGCATCTGAGAACACAGGACAGCACACAACAAATCATTTTACTTAAAATCTCTCCAGCTGGAGAGCAGGTGGCTGTCCCCTCTGCTATAGGACCCATAAGCACAGGGATCAAGAACATTCTCACCGCTGCAATATGTTCAGTGCCCAGTCTAGTTTCTGATACACAGTAGGTACTAAATACTTCTCAAATGGATATGTAGATGGATGAATGAATGAATGGATTCCTGACTTTAATAACCAGCATGGCCCTTACACACCTTGTAAACTCTTCTTCATCTCCAAACTATCCTATTGGCAACAGTAAGTTTTGACAATGGCATTGTTTCTTAAATACAGAATCTGATTTGCATAAAATCTTTCATGAACATGCCCATTTGGATATGATCTCATAATGTCTTTGAGGAGCACTCGTTCTTTTTTCAATATTTAATGAGACTTAAAATGTGCCAGTCATCACTGCTGGGTGATGGAGAATTCACGTTGAGCATAATCAGACACATCTCTGAACTTTGGAGGAGAAGACAAATCCAAAACTCCCATCAACTAAACTACAATTAAACGGTGGTAAGTTTTCTACAGTAAGACCCAAGACAAAGCAACCTAATCACATCTGGGGGAAAATTCCCAGGAAAAGCCCCTGAGCTGTACTCTGAAAGATACGTGAATTTAACAGAATGTCTCAGAGTGAAAAATGACTAGAATTTAAAGCTCTACAAGAGCAGGGTTTTTGTTTGTGTTCAATGATACATCCTAAGTCCCTAGAATACACATGACCCAGAAGGCAAGTAATAATGATTTCTGAAATGTAAGAACGCTCTAAGAAGAAAGAACTGCACATGTAACTGTCATCGGATATGAACTCCACGAGGATTTGTGGGGATGAAGGGCAGGTAGTGAAGGAAAGCAGGGGTGAGACAAGCCGGAGAGAGGTGGGACCACAGAGGGCTTGGCAAGCAGCTATGGATGTGGTATTGACCGAGCAGACCAGACAGACACTGAATAGGGCTTGAGGGGTGGCCATGATAACAGAATCATATTTACATTTTAAAAGGCTGTTCTGAGGACAGTGAAAGAAGGAAAGCAGGCCAGAGTCCCGGTGGAGATGAGTGTAACCTGGACTAGGATGGTAAAAGTGGGGAAGAATACAGTAAGTGGATTCTAGAGCTTTGTGGGCCCCAAAGTGAATTCAGCTGGCAGGTAGGTTAGAAATGGATGGGAAGAAAACAGAAACAGAAGGACTCTCAAGTATACATGATTTTACCCTCAACTGAGATTAGAGCAGACCAGAACTGTTTATCGGAGGACACGGGTAGCAGTCATTAGCTGGCTTTTAATCAGATTGAGGTTGAAGTCTCTGAGACAAACCATGTTATCATCCAGGCAAATGAAAATGTTGGCCTGGAGTTCTCAGTAAGGTGGAAGGCTTCTAACTGAACTAGATGCATAGAAAAGACAAAAGTTGGTACACACTAAAGATTAAAATCCCAAACTAATTCCCCACTTTTTTGAGACAGGAAATAGAAAACAGAAAATTTCATAGTTAGTATGATGCTATACTGTTATATTCCATGTGCATAAGAACTACAGATAGAAGGAAAAAAATACAAAAACAATATTGTGACCAGAAGTGTTATTCTTGGTGCCATGATATAAAAACAATATCATGTTACTGATAATAGAAAATGCAGGTATGGGAACTGATACTTGTCATAGTGGTATAACATGGTTATACACTGGACCCTTGAACAACAATGGGTTTGAAATGTGTGGGTCCACTTATAGATAGATCTTTTTTCAATCAATATATTGGAAAAATTTTTGTAGATTTGTGACAACTTGTAAAAAAAATTTCTTCTCTCTAGCTACTTTTGTTGTAAGAATACAGTATATAATATGTATAACATACAAAATGTGTTAAGCAACTGTTTATGTTATCAGTAAGGCTTCCTTCCAATCAACAGTAGGCTATTAGCAGTTGTTTTGCGGGAGCTAAAAGTTACACTCAGATTTTTCAGCTGTTTGTGGGGAGATTGGCAGGGCTAATGCCTGCATTGCTCAAAGGTCAACTGTGTATTCATATGGTTTATGTATACACACATACACTTATAATTTCTATTAGAAAAAAACATAAGAATTCTAATGCTGAAGAGGTAATTATACTTAATGGCATTTGGTATGAATACTTAACCTGTTCCAGAGGAAATAACATTAGCACCAATGATAAGAATTCTAAGAGTCAAAAATTACTAGATTTAATAACAAAACCATTCAATAATTCTACTTAATACTTCTACTCCATTAATAGTTTTCCCAGTAGAAACTACAGGAGTCCTCTATCATTATTACTAATGTGCATTTCCACACATTCCTGGAGTAATTTTAATGGATACTGAGATTGAAAATCCTATGGTAATCAGGGTTCCTAAAATGCCTTCAAAATCATCAGGCATCAATAAAATTTTGTTCTGTTAAGTTTTATGGTTGAATCTATTTTAGGTTCTTATCTTTGAAAATTGGTCACCTATGTATTACATATTAAACAGAATATTTGAAGCATAAAAGAAGTACTACAACTGACCACACCTGTTCCATTCTTTCTTCAGGAGGGACTAAGCAACCTAAATAAAATACGCATCCTAGTTATGCCTTAGCCAGAAGGATCTGTATTCCCACTTGAGGCCACACAGATAAATATGAACACATAATTCTACGTTCACTGCATGGATTCTGTAATGCACATATAACAGAAAGATCTAAAGTACAAGGTTTTGACAGTATCACACTTTACTGGCTTACATTTTCAAACAAACCTCAAGTTTATATATACAATAATTCTGCCCCATAGGACAAATTAATAAAGTTTCACTACCTTACAGTAAAATGTCTGTTCAATAATTACACTACTAATTCAAATGTCAGAAATGAATTAATGAGTAGCAATGTAAACCATTTCCCTTTTAATGCATCCATGTCAAAAAGTAATTGTGGAACAACTTCAGTGTGCTGAAAAGCACATTTGTTCTATCTTAAATGTTTTTTTTCATTCTGGAAATATAACTAGAAATCCTAAAGCCTTGATGTAACTTGTTAAAACAATAGCTCTTCCAACCAGTTGATTCTTTTTTGAAGATTAATGGGGAAAATAGGGTTAACGGTAATACCTCAGGTTCTTTCTTATAAGAAGACACTTTTCAGATACTCAGGATATATTCTAAATTACACCGAGATTAGCAAACAAGTCAAGGTCTGCTTTCCCTATGCCAAGATGGGAAATTATAGTTATGAAACATGTAGAATGTGAGAAAGCTTCCCGATTTTTCCTCTAAGCCTTTCATAATAAAGGATTAGGGCCCAATGGGTAAGTGACCAGAGTATCTTTGTTTTCTACATTCCTAGAGATTTTCTTGAGTTTTTTCCAAATTCCTGAAGTTAGAGGTTGTATCTTCAACTGAATACTTTTTGACGGTGCTAAAGTTATGTTTCTAATAGACATATGAGTATGCACCTGTCTTTATGTCTAAACAAGCTGTTTTTTTTTAAACGATTCTTATTTCACCTCTGCTTTTGGAAACTACAATGTGTTTACTAGAAATCGGATTACCTTTTAAAAGCTCATTGTTAAAAGTGGGTTGACCTTGCTACAACTCTTTAACATTTGTACATGTGAACAAGCCCCCAACTCACTTAAATGAAGACATTTCTACCCCCTTACCATCATCTTCACATTCTTCCAGAGGTTTCTGCTGCTTGTTCAGGCACCGAGGGTCTAACCAAGATGTTGTTTTTGTGTTGTGGCTGAAATCCAGAAACAAAAACAAGAAACACGTTTGAAAAGAAAAAAACACACAAAACTTCAATGACAGAAGAATTATATATTATTGAACATTAGCTCTTCAAGCAAAGCAAAGATACTTTCCGTAAGATAGTCTAGGTTTGGAATTATAAAATGACTTGAATCTTTCACTTACCTAAGATATAATCATTCCATTATGGAAAGCTTAAAATATGAGGCCAGTTTTAGTTCTGCAAAATAAGTTCCAAATGACACTCCTCATCTATACTGTCTACCTTTGTCTAGACTTATTTTAGTCTTCACATTTGCTGAGGAGCAAACTCCAATTTATTTTAGATTTGTCTATGACTTAAATCTTGGATGCAAGAATTCACAAAGAAGGCTGCTATTTTACTTCTAATATTACATAAGAATTCTCTCTACAGTTTGGACCTACCTCAATTCATTCTAGTGGCTCAAAGCTGCTAATATATACCATGCATCACAGCATCCTAAATTATGCTTCAGACACAGTGAAGGCAACCCAGAGTTCTCGATCATAAATAGGACCTAGGCCAAGAAAAAACTTGGAGGAGCCAAACGTGTTGCCCAACTGCCTTCTGGAGGAGACATGCCAATTCTAGATGAAATGTTTCAAGACAATAATTGGGGCACTGAAGGTCTGGATGTGTACAAAAATATTCCCAAAATACTGCCTTCAATCATGCCAGAAATGTCACGGGAATGACTAGGAGATTGACCTGAAGCAGATCGATACACTGGGACAAAGTTCTGCTTGACCTCCTAGTCCATCCTATGCCAGCTAAACAGGGAGCCAGAGAACTACAAATCCAACAGTTTAAGTTGTAAACTGGAAAGAAAAACAAAAATTATATATATATATGTATACATTTTTGAAGTTTAGGTAGTAACCTAAATGTTTTTGGAAATCTCAAGTTCAGATTGTAAATATGCTGAAAAAAATTGCTACAGCTCTTTAGATTCAAATTTTTTAGGTGTTGAAAAAATTATGGCTTAAGAGAAAAAAAACAGAATGTACAAAGGTACATACCCATCATCCCAGCTGTGTTAAATGAAAAAAGAAAATAAGCAAAGAAAGGTACTATAGTAACAACTATCACACCCAATACTACTTATTTGTCCACTTACAACTACCAGATTCTGTCCTGCCTGCTGCATTTGTTACAACTTATTTAACCCTTACAATAACCCTATGAGAGGAATATTGTTAGTGTTAAAAGGATTACTTCCCATTTTATAGATGAGAAAACTGAGGAGAGAGAGAGAGAGAGAGAGAAAGAGAGAGAGAGAGAGAGAGGGGAAGAAATTTGCCCAAGGACACTCTGTTGCTATGAGGCAGAAATGGGAATCAAACCCAGGGAGCCTAATACTAGACCCCAAGGTCTGTCCTTTTCATACACTGTAAGATAGTAAAATGGTCATTGCTGGGAGGGAATATTACATATGATTTTGCTTAAAAAACTCCTTATTTTGAGATAATTATAGATTCACATGCAGTTCTAAGAAAGAACACAGAGATACCACATACCCTAACCAGATACCACCAATGGTAACATCCTGCAAAACTATTAATGTTACTACCAGGGTACTGATATCCTGGGTACAAAACATCACCCTCATCACAAGGACCCCTTATGATTCCTTTTTACAGCCATACCTGGTTCTCTTCCAATCCCTCCTCCCAAAACCCATTGTTAATCTCTGGCAGCCACCAATCTGTTCTCCATTGCCACAGCTGTGTCATTTCAAAAATGTTGTATGAATGGAATCACATAGTATGTGATTTTTGGGGATTGGTATTTGAATTCACCATGATTGTAATCCAGTAATTAATTCTTTTTATTGTTGAATAGTATTCCATGGCATGAATGTACCTCAGTTTAACCACTGAAGGAGAGATCTGGGTTTTTGGCTATTTGGAATAAATCTACAGTAAATATTTATATATAGGTTTTTGTGTAAATGTAAGTCCAAGTTTGATTAAAAAAATTTTTTTTAATTCTAGCATTTCTTAGATTTCCCATACACTGATTTTACACACACATATGTAAAACAAGGTAGATCTGAGTCTACGGAAATTTAACTTCCTGTTCACTGCAGGATACTCTAAGAAGAAATTGTTCAGAGAGAAGGCCTCCTGAAAACTCATTAACCAGAGTATGTAATTTAGGCTAAAATACAAATGATGTGTATCTACTAACTTAAAATAATAGAGAATTTGATAGCAGCAGACCAAATCTCACAGTTGTTATAATAAGCCAAACTTCAGCATATTTTTTCTATTAAACACTAGCCTAGCATCTGTTAAAGCTGAATTAGGTTGTGAAAAGTAAGCAAATCATTGCACTCTCCTATTAGTCAACCATGGTCTTGGGTCTTCGCTAACCATCTTCACTAACCATAGTCTTTACTAACCATCAAAAACACCAATTTTCTTATTTCAAATTGATCCAGTCAGTCTTGTGCAAAATTATTGATACATTCTTCAGGAATCTGAGTTGCACATATTATTCTGTATCAGGAATTCCTCTATTATGCTGTCTTTTGCTCAATACCATTTTTTCTTACTAGTGGACATAATTTCAAAGACTATTGCAAAAGCAAACCACACAATCCTAGGCTTAGAGCTGATAACCATTTTTATAAAACATTTTAAATCCTCTGTAATAACCAAGATGATGATGAAAATAGAGCCACTATAATAATGCTCATTCATTAGTAGTAAGTCCTTTATATTTGTTATCTCATCTAATTCTCATGACAATCTGATAGGGTAGGTATGATGCATAGCATACATGTCCTTTTAGAGATACGGGAAATGGAGAAACAGAGATAAACTCAAGTTCCCAAGGCCACACAACTAGTAAGTGATGGAAACATCATGACTTTTTTGGGGACCTCATAACCGCAATACTTCCCTGACTCCCAGAAAAAGACCACATGTTCCATGCCTGCCTTCAGTGAGCACTTGTCATTAACATGAAAACAGAAATTTGGATTATCCCCTCTTGATTGAAGAATAACGCAGGAGTTCCACTTCCCTTCTCTTGGATTTCCTAGATCAGTTACATAAAAGGTGCTCCAGCACTGATCTCCTCTCTCACTCCCACGCCTTTAGGAAATTACAGTTACCTACCCTCACTGATTTCTCTAATTACAAAATGTATGCTCACGTATATACTTAAACGGAAAAATGTATTCAAGCCCCACAGAAATGCGTAATGTGGTTAGAAAATAAATTCCTTACTTAACTCAAATTGAAGAGTTAATAAATACTCCTAGAATTTTCCTATACACAGAACTCTTATCTACATATCCATAGAAGCAAATATACACACATAATACACACAATATATATATATGTCCATGTGTTTTGCAAAAGTGAGATACTTCATCTGTTGTTCTGAAATGTCCCTCTTATTGTTCATTAAAAAGCAGATCCTCGACTTCAATCTATTTAAGTAGAATAACAGATTTACTTATGTTTTTATTTTATGGTTTAAGTGGCCATTTTGTTTTCCTTTTTTAGTGGTACATTAACACTATGGTTAATCTTAATAGAAAATCCTATTAATAGAGCCAAAGTACATTTTAAAAATTATTACTGGTTAGGTAATTACATTATCTTAGATTCCCTAGAATGGGTTCAATGGTGTATATATATATATGTATTATTTTTTTCCTTTTCCTTTTCAGTAAAGTTATTGTTTAACTATATAATCTTTAGGTTTTATAACTGTGAAAGACTTTTCACATTGATGTAAGTTTCAAACTTTAATCCACATGTTTTGTACCATATAAAAATTTTTAACTTAGAATGGATCATAGACTTAAATGTAAAATGTAAACAAAAAACATTTCTAAAAGTTACATAGCAGGAATTGACTACTGCATGACTGATTAGGGAAAGATTTCTCAGCTACTACACTAAAAGCACAATCCACAAAATGAAAAAAAAAAAGATAAATTCATTAGAATTAAGAACTTCTGGCTCTTCAAAATACACAGTTAAAACAATGAAAAGAAAGCCTGGACTTGGAGAAAATGTTTACAAATCACAAATATGAGAAAGGAATTATACCCAGAAGATACGCAGAACCCTTAAAATCCAACAAAAGAAAACTGCAACCCAATGAAAAAACAATAAGCAAAGAATTTATCTATTCTTAATGGCTAAAGTAGATTCTTCATATATGATATCATAATTTATATGCTCTCCCTAATTTAGCTGTCTAACTCTTTAGGGGAATTATTAACCTTATGCTTCCTCAAGCTCTTCAGACTCAATGATTAGAATGAAATGCTGATTGCTTTTTTGTACAAAGCTTGTTAAACTGTGTAAGAGAATACCATCAGCGTGCAATCCATCTGTTTAGATTTTATTTACATCTAAGCAGCTAGGGAGAGGGGAAGAAAGGGGCATGAGGGGAAGGGAAAGAGTCAGGTAGAAATAATGGTATACTTTACTCTATAAAATAGACTTCTCCATTTTCGGTATAGGCCATCTCCCAGTTCTCAGGTAGAGGACCTAAATTATCCTCTGCAGAAAGAGGTAGGTATTGAGGGAGCTTCTGAGAAGGGTCCGTGATGGGAGCAGCAACGATGCTACTATTCACAGGTGGCAGAGTTGTTTCTTGGAGAGTGTGCTCTTCTTGGTCACCGGAATCGGCTGTTTAATCATGGGCAGAGAGAAAAGAAAAAAAAAATTCATCAGTCATACCCCAAATGGGGCTGTTTACTACTACATGCATCTACATGCTTAAAAGCCCTCATCCTTCCTAATTGCTGGCCATTGGCTATATCCTGCTTTATTTTGATAAAAATTCTTTGCATAGAAAACATTCAAATGATGGGCCAAATGTATTTTACCTGAAAAGAAAGAAGAAAACACATGTGCAAACAATGCATTGCTCACCATTTTGGAAATGTCAAAAGGAAACAAATTCATGTCTCAGACCCTGAAGTCTCTTAAAGAAGGCCATCTAAACACACACTGAGCTGCAGCGCCATTCCACAGGTATCATTTGGTTTCATGATTCAGAGGGCTTTTGGGTGGCAAGAAAAAGTCCATGCTGTAAACAGGGGGACATTATTGTCCATTTTGCATAAATTATTTAAAACATTTTAAAAGATTTTTAATCATAATATAAGTTGGTCACAGGGATGGGAGGACAGCATGGAGAATATAACCAATGATTTTGTAACATCTTTCTATGTTGACAGATACTAACTGCACTAGTGAGGATTTAATAATGTGAATAACTACTGAACCACACTGCGTTGTATAACTGAAACCAACATGTTTGTATATCAACTATACTTCAACTAAAAAAAAAAGGAAACACTTTTGGTAGACAGTATCAAAAATCAAGATCGACAACTAAAGCTGGGAAGTATACAAATGTTCAGAATATAGAGACAGCTATACCAGATGCAAGCCATTTTGTAAAAGTGAGAATATTCCTGTGAAAACTAAGTAAGAGTTACCTCCCGAACAGTATCATGTGGGTTGACTGAGTTGACTTGGACCTTAAAAGAAGGCTGTAAGTGCCTGAGCCTCCTTGCCTTCTTATTAACTAGAAGTATCAATAGGTGATGTCATCAAAGGGTCCACAAATGGCACTGTTGACATTCTGGTTGAATTTTTATAGAGGCCGATGATATTAAATGTCAGTCTCCACGGGGCTTTAAAACTTAATAACCAGGAGATGTACCTATTTTCTATCCCCTGCAGTAATTCTCCTATAGACATTTCTGATTTAGTGAAAGCAGACTGAGGAATAATAAAAGGCTTAGTCTTCAAATCTTTCTGAGATGAGTTGCTCCCAACAACACATGAGAAGGAAGGGATGGGTGGAGGACATGTCAAGCCTATTAAGCAACCACCTCCACCAAAATAGGCCACCACAGAGGTGGCTGCCTGTGTGCTTTCCCTGGCCTGAAAATATCCTCTCTTTTTCTGGTACCACCACTCAGCTTTCCCTTTGGAAACCAACCTCTCTGTCAAGTGGTCCATGTGGTCCAGGTGGGGACTGACTTTAGGTCGTTACTCCTTGCTCGTGTGGTGGGGCCCAAATCACGCTCCTTTCCTCCTTTTACTCTTGTCTCTGTGACTGGATTAGGCCATGGACCAAACCAATGTCAGACATGGAAGTATTTGCCAAAATTATCAAGCAAGAGGCAGCCTCTTGGTGCTCAAGTTTTAATAAGCTGACCGATGCTCATGCTATAGTGCTGGGGGCCAGCTTGGCAAGACCTGCCTGAGAATTAAACCCACAAAGAGGAAGCAGAGATAAAAGATAAAGCAAGTCACTGTACCCCTGATGGAGCCTCTGATTTCATGGACACCCAACCTCTTCAATTGCTTGATCCTGTAAATTCGCTTTACTGATTCAACCAATTTGCATTGGTTTTACAATTTGCATCCATGAGTGCAAATTAATAAAAACAACTATAAGTTTGAAGGAAAAAGAGTTTGAAATTAGACCAACACAGAAGAAATGTTTTGAAATTGCTAGTCAATGACAAAATAAATCTAAAAATGTGGCAAGAGTTCAAAGACTTGCCTTTAATTTCCTAGGAGCCAACAGGTATTCATCATTTTTAATACATCTGTGGAAGGTACACTTTACAGTATCTAAGAATCACCTGGAAAGATTTTTAAAATGCAGATTCTCTCTCCCTACTGTAAAAAATAGATTTGGAGTAAGATTCCAAAATGTGCACTTTTAAAGTGCCTTTATTTAAAGGTAATGGAGACTCAGGTATAAAAATCACAGTTTGGGATATAAAGAGCCTGAAAAAAAAAATCACTAGAACTTTCACTTTCTAAGAGGGGTTTTGCCTTGCTGCCAGTGTGGTATAGCCTCAAGGTGCAAACTCCTGTATCCACTGTTGCTGAGCCAGAGAGACGGATGATATGTGTCTGGTGGAGCCCTGGAAAGGGTGCATCCTATCTGAAGGTAGCAGGAATTCAGCCAGACAAGTAGTGTGCTGGGATAAAGTGGACTCAGTGCTTCCAGATCTCTAATATTTCAAGAGGGGGTATAAATCTGTATTTTTATGCAAACACTCCCAAATTTTCAATCATAATTCCTTTAAAGATAAGGCAGTCTGACACAGACACACACAAAAAGTCAACTACTGATTACAAGCATAGACTCTAGAGCTGGACTGCCTGAGCCTGAATCCTAGCTTTACCCTGTAGTAACTGGGGCGACACACTTAACCCCATGTGACTTAGTTTCCTCATCTATAAAATAGGGAAGGTAACACTATCTACCCCCATAGGCTCTGGGGAGGATTAAATGAATCCGTTCCTGTACATCACTCAGTACTAGCATGCAGTAAACACTATTTGTTAGCTGGTACCATCACCTACTTCATCAAAGTTATTACTATTCATTTCTGTCTGCAGGTCAGATCTGGCCCTCAGGCTGCCAATTTGTTACCAAAAAGGCAGAAGAAGAATACAGTTGACATCAGATCACAGACCAGACAATAGCCTTTCCTGTTTCTAAGCTGTGTGACTTTGGAAGAGGCTCTATCTTTCTAAGCATCTGTTTCTTCATCTGTGAAACGGAAATAATGGATGTCATGAGTGCTGAATGATTCAATGCGGCAAAGTGCTTGCAAAAGTGCCTGGCACTCAGGGCATGCTCTATGAATGGTCATGACTGGAACCTGCTCCTGGAAATTCACATGTCCAAAATCAGTTATCATCTTTTAATATGATATTTAAGATCCAGAGAAGTGCCAGGACAAGAGTAGACATGCAGTAATTTTATTCAAAAGTGTTAACTAATTGATTGTAATAGAAACTGTATGTAATGGTAAAAGGGTAGTGGTACCTAAATAGGTAGGACACTAAATATGAAAAGAGAAACAAGTTAAGCTTAACATGAGTATATACAATTCATGTTAAAAAAAAGTCATGCCAGTGGACCAAAACCTTGACTACATAGTGGGAATATTAGTTCACTAGCAAAATATCTAAGTAACTTAAATTTCGTAGAAAAAAATAAAACCCTTCCAGCAAGTAGGTCTTATTTTAAATTATCCAAACACTTGTTTTTATTTGACACAGTTTCCACATCATATTTCAAACAAGAATTTATTGATGTATGACCAACATTCAAAAAGCTATAGATATTTTTGTTTAAAAATGGTTTTTCAGCTTTACTGAGGTATAATTGGGAAATAAAATTTTCAGATATTTACAATCCCTATCGTGATTTGATTCACATATACATTGTCAAAGGATTCCTTCCGTCTAGCTAATTAAGAAGAAAAAGCTGTAGATATTTAGTGTGTCAACTTGCAATGTAATGACTTGATGTGTTTAGCTTTCTGTTTCTTATTTCTAGTTCAACAGAACCTTAAATGATTTCATGCTCTGAAAGAAAAGGGAAAGTCCAAAAATGAGTGGTTTGGGGTAGTATCGGGCAGATTAAAAACTTTATAATCCCAATCATTGCATTGACTTTGACACATGTTCTGACTTCAAAAAATCTTTCATTAGATTCCAGACATTAAGGTGCACTGCGCTCACTCTCACTAAAGGGTGAGAGCCCTTTAGTGCCCGAAGGCAGAAGGGATTATTGGGACACAGACTGGATGTGCAGGCATTGCTCCTCAGTGTTCTCAGCTGCAAAATTAGGTTCCTAATCTCTCAACATTTCCAGGAAGTTTACAGGATACAAGTGAAAATGACTTGTCAACTGTAAGTGAATATGAATAGCATATTCATTCATAGTAAATCAGAAGCTTCCAAGCATTTACATACACATACATGGCTGAGGGGATTTTGAAAGTGACTTTGAGAATAGAAGTTCATATCAAAAATACATTTCTGACACTTATTTTAAATTTTACTTGCTTTTAGATGTATGTGCATCCCTCACTAGATATAAACACTCAAAATCTTTGGAGGGTACACAGAGCTAGTAAACTTGATCTAAAACACAAATAGTACAGTGGATGAGCACATAGGTTTTGGAGCCAGACTTTTTGGGTTAAAATGACAGCTTGACACTCACTGGCTCTGTGATACTGGAAAAGCTATTAGATCTCCCTGGGATATGCATAAGGAGCTTAGCAAAGTGCCTGCCACACAGCACTGGAGAAAAAGTAGCTCTTACAGTAATATCATTATCTCTTGACATTCCAAAGCAATGTTTTATCACTACCTACTAGTGAAAAAGAAGCACCACCATCCTGATGTTCGACAACAGGAAGTCTGTGGGGGGAGAAAGACTAGAAACACAATTAAGTACCATTTCAACATCTCTTAGAGGTGATGAATGGATGAACCAGGTACTTTTCAGTTGTGGTGGTTTGTTACATTATTTTCCAAGTTGTCTATAATAAACAAAATATTTTTATAAATACTTTTATTTATTTGTATAAATAACTGTGTTTTGGACAAAAGTGCAACTCTACCTCCATGAAACACACATAAACAGTGTTCTTTCTCAAGGGCTCATTTAGGTCCATAATTTGGGCACAGTCTGTAGAAGACTTGTCCCAGAGGTTTGTGTTCTACAGTGAGTATCCCGGAGGCCTGTTCATGGCTCGGCTCTTGCCTCCATCACTGGTTGCAGAAAGGCAGGGTGGCAATATCCCCAGGACACTCTGGCCGTAAGTTCCCAGCTCTGTGGTTGGCTGACACTCCCCACTTACTTAGGGTTGCCATTTAGACATTTTGTGTCTCCTTCAAAAGACCCAAGGAGAAGTCAGCTAAGACAGTAGCAACATTGTGTTATTTAAAGTATCCTGGTAAATATTATTTTTAAAAGCTCCATAGTGTTTCTACATTTGGACATGATGTTTATACCTGCAGCACAGCTGGCCCCACCAGTGGCCCAGACCCCTTTATGCTACTGTCACTCTATGCTCCAGTTGGCTCGCAGCTTGCTACTTAAAAGTGGTTCAGAGTGCTTTTCACACACCTAGTTTGATATACATATCATAGATTGGGTAGGGTCAATTATTTGAAGGAATTTTTATGACTTAGGAAATGACAGGCTGTCAGCTGTCACACTTGTCCTGTGGTGAGGAGTCATTTGTTCAGTATATTCCTTACATATGAAATGTCTTCATATGTACAATCTCAAGACCAGTTCTCTCTCTGCATCCCATAGATTTTATTGGTATTAAGACAGGAACCTGAAGAAGACAATCAGGTGAACTGTCTAGAAATGAATGATCAAACTGACTTTAGTAATGATGAACCGGGTCCAGAATTTTTTTCTTTGATGCCAAGATTTCAAGTGGGGATTTAATGGGGTCAGATATTCTGAGGCATGGCTTCTAGAGACAAACATTTCTAGCAGTTAGAAATAGGAAAAGCAAGAAACCTATAGTCAACTTTGTTCTATGTACCAAGAAAACTACTTAATAAGTGGAGGTCAAATAAACGTACACAGACTTCTTGGGGACCAGCCAGCTACTTGGCAGAACTGTTTCACTGCATGTTACTCCCAAGGTCTTCTGTTTCTGTGCCTGCATCTATGTTTTGGGTTGTATCATGATTTGCTCTTATTTGTTGAAAAGATCAAGATGTTAAAGTGCTAGCAATTTTTAAAAAGAAATATGACTCTTTTCATAATCTGATTTCATTATCAAAGAAGACAGCTATACATGGATAAATATTTCTAAGTGGATAAAATTAGCTGAGTTCAATAAATGCATATGTAAAAGACAGTAAATTTCTTCTAGATATTGCAACTATAGGTCAGCCACTGGCCTTATCTATCCTAATTGGGAAAATGGAAATTTTCATGGGATCAAATTCTAAGAGATGGAAGGGGGACCTTAGACATGAATTAATCCTAACCAGTCATTTTACAGACAAGACCAATTAGACTGTGTTCAGAATAAGCCAACTACCAAGAACCAAGCTAGGATAACAAACAATATCTCCTCTTCCTTTATCCAATGCTTCATGCAAAAGGCCTTGGGCTACTAATATGACAGTAAAGCCATCAAAAATTAAAATTGTCGTCTTAAAGAATGTTAGGATTCTGAGCTTAAGAATGAGAAGACTTCAGAGAGGCCCATACCGATGTGGAAGCAATCAACCAATATAATTTTTTTCCTAAATATTCTACCAGACTTGGTAGCACAAGGAAGAAAATTACAGAGTTTAACAAATCTCTCCTTTACGTGGGGTTGGATCTAACTGAGTAATGACTGAAACGTGGTGATGTCAGAAAAGGTCAACAAGAGAGAGAAGATCTAAACTGCTGCAAATAAATAAGTCTTCCATAGCTACAACTCTAAAATAGTAAAGAAAATATTTAAATATAAGGAAAATAGAAAGAACAGGATATTCATTAATGTCACCTTATAGACTGGAGTAACTATGTATTATAAAGTTGTTACATTTGCGTTCATATATATAGGGTCAAACCCCGTATGGTGAAAAATATTTTTGAACAGTTTTGGATCATTGCACTAATCCAAGGAACATACATTGTGGCCTCTAGGAATGGTGCCTTCTGGATTTGTACAATGCCCAACCTGTACAGCCTTATACAGAATCCTTGTCCGTGAAGATCCACTCATAAAATATGGCGTACCTAAGCTTGGGGGTAGACAGCCCTGGATGTGTATGTGAATATACAATTCAATGAGTAACATATGCTACACAAAATAGAATGCATATGCAAGATACAGAGTATTTATTATTTTTCCATCTTTCTTCCTCTTAGGGCATAGAGTAAAATTTGTGTAAGTTGAACACATTTCCATGTATCTCTACGTACAAAGGTATGAGATGAAAGGATGCGGCCAGCTTTCTGCTGTACAACATTAATAGATATGAAACTACTAAACAAATTATCATTTGTCTCTTAATAAGCAATCAGCCTTAATTATGGAGCAGTATATCCAGACCAGGAAATCAGTGAGCAAAATACAAATATTCTTGTATCATCTTGAATAGAAAAAATAATGCTGATTATTCCTAATTCCCTCCTACAGACACTTCTCTCCAGTCCCCTTAAGATATTTGGGTGAAGTTAAATAAGCAAGAAAAATCCATACCAGGGAAAAGACAACTCTTCCCCAAGTTTTGTGTGGTCAAGTTTGAATTTCGGCAACCCTTCCAAATTCCCTGAGAAGAGAAACCTCGTAACTTTGCAAAACCTCCCAACGTTCCCCTTTCCCCAAGCCCACTGAGAGGGAACATGTCTGCCTTTTACCTGTAAAGCTACTGTTCATTTCAGGAACGTCATCGTCCTCCTCATTCTCCGCATGGACTATGCCAGCATTTTGCATATCATTGTAGGACTTGGTTCGCTTTGGGGTCGATTGCTTGGAGCCAGACTGAAGGTTTTGCAAGGCATCCGTCGTGATCACTTTCCCACTGACTGGCTGGCTAGGAGGTTTGGGTGTCCCATAATAGTTTCCTAGGTGATGGAGAGCACATTTGCATGTTTCAGAAAGAATACTTTGTTTTTCCCAACATCTCACATCCAAATCTCTCAGTACACTTAAAGGAAAATTTTAACTGGAAAACCCAGAACAAACTGTATTTCAGTTCTGGAATGGGTTAGAAAAGATGTCGTTCCTACCCAGCTAGACATGGTGATTTCAGAAGCTGGGAGGAAAACCGCACTGTTTTGGTGCAAAGGACCTACTAGGGCTAAACACAAAGGCAGCCATATTGAAGAACAAAACTGCATCCTCATTATATTTGAAATCCAATCAGTCACCTTTTTACATCTGTGCACCAGCATAATGCTGAATCCAATTTAGAGTGAGCCTCACAGAAAATAAAGAATTCATTACTGCTGGCACCCTTACAGGCCTACAAAGTTTTGAGGTCACCTTCCCTTAGTAAGGGGACTCCTTGAGAGGGAATTAGGGCAATGTTTTAAAAGGAGGACAGCAAATAACATGTGGCACTTCTTTAACTGAATGGTAGGCTGGCCTCTCAGGGCCATGCAGGGTGGGAACGAACTCTTGTTAAGTTGTAACAGAAAACTCAGTGGTAATGGTGTCATGATAGCACCAGTGATGAACCAACTCCTTTAATAACTGCCTATCTTCACCTTCAGATACTTTTTCCCAAAAGTTTGGCTCAGGTCTGACTATAGCATGCTAAGCGATTCTGAGTGGTACCTGGATGGATTTTTATTTTTTATTTTTTAAAGAAATAACTGTGTATATTTTAATGTGCTCTAAAGAAATCTACCAAGTAAGTTACGGTAGTAGTATAGTTTACTGTTAAAATTTAAGTGAAAAAGAAATAGTTTAAAAATTGACTTTTTTGACTTAAAGTTTGAAAGGCAGCTATATGCTGTAAGAAATTAACTGGATAAATAATAGCAAAGGTTGTGATGAGTTGCCTTTTGGAAATTTAATATGCTATTTGAAAGAACACTTCAAGTAAACATTAAACATTATGTTCAGATATGGACAAAATCATGAAGGTGATTCACGAATGACCAAAGTTTGAAAAAGACAGCTCATAATCAATAATACCCAGTGACTACATGATTAAAAAAACATCAGTGCCATTGATCCATTCACCATCTCACATCTTTTAGAGTAAAACCAAAACGACAAATTACACTGAACCCTTCAATAAATCCTAAGCAACATTTGTAATCTTATGCTTTGTAAAGTAGAATTTATAAATAATAACAAATCCTGCACACGGTTTCTTCCCAAGGATCTCACCCCTGCCTAACCTCAGTACATAATTACATGAAATATGCATTTGATTGTATGAGCACAAAAACAAATGGAAAAAGGAATACGTTGCTTTGCAAGAGACATGCAGGTAATAAAGAATTTGCTTCCATTCAGCTTTATCTTCAAAATTTCTTTTTTATCAGTACTATTTCTCTAAATCATTTCCTTGAATCACCAAATTTTTTAATATACATGTGCACTTTCTTCGAGGGTGGTATAGTAGAGTGTGTGTTGGCAGGGGAACTTGGAACATTCAAATTGAAAAGTGCAAAAAGACTAATAGGTACCGTGTTTGAATTTGAAGGGTAACAGACAGAAACCTGGGAAGCACGTTCTGGGGGCTTGGCCTCAGCTCCATTGTCACAGTTCTTTCACAGGCGATACATTAATCTCTTCAAAAGAACTTCTCTCAACTTTCCAACTTAAAGGTGCTGGGACGGAGTAGAATGAGCTTGAAGAAAAGCACCCCGTGTGTGTTTTTAGGGATGACTACACGCACAAGGAAGAAGGAGCCCATGTCTGAACCAAGAGCATCTTGCATTTCTAGAGGTTACATCAAAGGACACTCTATGCCTTCACTAAAGTTGAAAGCAGGCTACAGCGTTGATTTTTTCATGAGCTGAAGACTCTTAGTGAGGTGTAGGTAAATAAAACAGCTTTTTTAAAAACAATTTTCAAAATGAACAACAAAAAAAAATAGAGACAAAGCTCTATTGAATTTAATTCTCATTCTTTTTTAACACAATTACACCAAAAAAATCAGGTACTTTTTTCAATTACAAGTTAATCGAAAGACCAATGTCTGTAAATAAGAATTATCCACTGAAAGATGTGACTGAAGGATGGATCCCTTGTTTCTGATTTTATGATAATAATTTTGCAATCACTATCACTCCTTTTCAGTGCCATTGAATCAAAGCAACATTCCTGAAACTAATGGCTTTAAAAAAAATCAATTAACATTTAGAAATCCTCAATTTATGACAGAAATAAATATTTAGAAAAGTTCTACCTAAATTTGGCAAATGTGTATAGGTTTTCCTCAGTTTTCAAGTTCAGAGTCTTTCTTAAGTTAATAAGTGATTAGGTTTCTCTAGGTAACTAAAACTCCCCAAAACAAACCACTTATTCAAATTGTTTCCTATTTCTGGAGATTAAGATTAACTGGAGACAAAGTATATATTATTAGGCTGAACCATATGCAAATGCTGCTGAAGACAAACTGTTGAGTATCGGGAATTTCATTTGGGTTAAGCTAATGTGTAACCGTTAGCAGTCCTCCGCACACCACAGTGTCAAGAACCTGGAACAGACAGCCTGGGGTTCAAATCCCAGCTTCCCAATGACTAGCTATGTGACCCTGGGCAAGTCATTTAGCCATTTTGTTTGGAAAACTCTTTGTCTTCTTCTATAAAATGGGGATTCTAAGAATACCTAGCTTTTACACCTAAAATCCCTGTTACTGAGGATAAAATGAGATGATCCATTTAAAGTCCACCATGACAATGAGACTTGATAAATGCTATTTGATATTGGTAGGGTATGTTTCTAATATTTAAAATGAAGCTTATTACACCTTGTTGGAAGGATTAATAGAAGTTCTGAGGTGCCTGCCACGTGGTAACCGAATAGTCCTCCTTTACTGATGTGAAGGAACAAGCCTGCTAATGAGTGAACCTTGGGCAAGTTCTTACTCAATCTAACACTTTCTCCATGAAATGGGAGTGGTGGCCCCAGCCCTAGCAACCTCAAAGGATGTTCATGAAAATCAAACTATGTGACTTTCTTAAAGGCACCATCAGATATTATAAATATGAAATAGTGCTATTTATTAATCAAATCTCTCCAGCATTTATTTCCCATATTGCCTACAACCTTTACAAAAAAGCTTCTATCTGTTGGTTTTCTAATTGTGCAGAAGGTTCAACTTTCCTTAGCAGATAATGTTTTTTTTTTCAGGTATTTTAAAATGTAAATGAATTAGTGACCAACATTTAAAAACTGACTGTATCTAGTTAAAATCTGGATGAACTCAGAAGTGCTACATGACAAACTAAGTATCCTTGGATTCTGTCTCTTCCAGGTAATGTTGATGATAAGTGTGGGATGAAAGCCAGTGCCCCTAGAATGCACTCAATGAACTGATGCTTTCTGCTGAGAAATGATGACTTTTGTGCCCTATCCTTGGTCTGCCCCAACCCTTGCCAGACAAATGACTTGGTCCCAATCGAGAAGAGTTTCCCTAAATCTGCTGCAGAGCAAAGCCATGGACAGACATAATGGGTGGACACAGGATGGATGGAAATCTTTTAAAATCCTCAGTTATTCAAGATTGGTCCTTGAGTGAATTGAGTCTGGATGAATCTAGCTTTGGCTCAGGACTTCTGGCTAGTGGGGTTATTTGTGATCCCACATTATCTTTACTATACAATGGGCAAGAAGGGCTGTGCATGCCCCATTTGCTACTATTACAACCAGTTTCACTGCCTCTACCCGCCTGATTCACTCTCACTGTACCTGCCAGAGCCCAGCCATTGGCGCTCACATCCCCTCCTTTCGGGGAAATGCTCCACCTCATCAATAATTACTGCCTGGTCATGACCAGGCCAGGCCTAGCCAAACCTTCCAGAGAATATACACAAGAGACTTTCTGTGAAGAACGTATGGATCAATTAATGCTATTAAATAAAAATCATTTGAAGAATTATAAGTGGCTAAACAATTAATTTGGGTTATCACTTGGCAGGCTGCAGTTTCTAGGAGACACGAGACTGACTGTCCCACCATCTCCACATTAGCCAACACCCACGTCCTGGGCTGGCTTTCAAGTGTGTGTGTACGTGTCTGCTATTTTCAGAACTGGTTCTACAACAAAATTAGCAGGGATGGTGGCTACAGAGGGCAGGGGAGACATAAGAGAAAGCCACTGCTGGCCCTAATTAGCAAGCACATACTCTGGCTGTGACCAAGCCAAAGAAAATATTTTCTGACATGCCTTTAAAAATTAATGGGGGCTGCAAATCAATTTTTAGAGCTTGATAAAATATTTAAGAAGGACCATAACCCTGAGTTTTAAGCCAGAATGAATCAAATCTGTACAACCTCTCCCTTTGTACAAATTTAGTATTCATTCATTCATTTTCCTTACAGAGAAACTTTTTTTTTAATGCCAGGCACTATGCTAGACACTAGAAATAAAATGGAAAAACAGGACTAATATATGATCTTCACAAATGTTCTGTACAGTGTCCACCCATTGTTTTAAACTGTGTGCAAATGATAAAATCACAGTAAAAAGAGGTTCTGATTCTAAGGTCTGAGATTCTGAATTTCTAACAAGTACGCAGGTGGCGCTGAGGCCTCTGGTCCATGGACCACACTTTTCCCAGCAGAGGCAAACAGGCCAGAGAAAAATCATGGCTCTTTTTGTAGATGAGGAATGTGAAGGCTGAGAGCTGCAGAAATGCCTTCCTCAGGCTCACTTGGCTGGTCCAGGGAACTAGCATTTAGCCCTTTGTCCCCGAGGTCCATGTTTTTTTCATGATTCTATATGGGAGGTAGGAGTAGGGGACGCTTGTCTGCCCTCTTCCTATAGGACAAGTTTCTGAAAATCCGCAGAACACGATAGGAGTGACCATCAATGGCTGGCCAGCTGGAGCATATATTTTCAAGATGATCCACAAGGGGGTAAAAATAGGTTTGCTTTTTT